GTCCCTGAGCTCCAGCTTCTCCATCTTTGCCAGCAGGACCCTGTGGGGAGAGAGCAAAGGATCAGGGAGGTGAGGAGGGCAGCCGACAGAGGGAGCAGGGCAGGTGGGGTACCGGGGAGGGGGTGGGGGGACAGGGCAGACCCCGTTGGGGGGCCTCTGATGCCCTGGTGATGGCTGTGGCCTTCTGCGCCCCTCCTGCAGGGGAGGGGACGTGTCACGAGCAGGGGCAGGAAGGGGACAGGGGACCATAGGGCGATACTTACAACAGCGCCAGGGGGCCCAGGGACACCTCGTTCTCCTGCTTTGCCAGGCTCTCCCTACGGGCAAAGACAGGGAGTTAAGGGGGCTTAAGTGGGAACACGGGTCCCCTGGGTCCTTCCTGTTTACCCTGAGTGGTTCTTTTAGGGGTTTTCTTCTCGCCCAGCTCTGGGCCTGGGGAAACGCTTTGCTGGCTTTTTCTGCTGGTCCCTTGGTGTCTCCCTGAGGCCTCTTCCCTCTGAGACCACATGCCCCTTCAGGCTGCTGTCCCCCCGTCCCCCTTTCCTTCTCACCGCCATATGCCTACGGTGACCTGTTTGCAAAGGGCTTTCACCTCCTCTGGGACCTATTTTTCAAAGAACCCACCAAGATTTGGGGGTGCCTATCTTATAAAAGGCCCATTCTACCCCGTGGGGGGGCACAGGGGGGGCCCCAACAATGCTTGTTTCCAAGGATAGAGCAATGGTAGTGGAGCCAGGATCAGTCTCTCGTTTTTATGGATAAGGAGACTGAGGCCCAGAGAGGGGCAGTGAGCGGCCTGAGGCCACACAGCAAGCCAGCGGCAAAGCTGGGACTGGCGCCCAGGCCTTTCATCTCCCGGGAGTGCCTGTCCCTGGCTCTGCGACGTCCCTTGAGGAATACTCACAGCAGCACCTTTAGGCCCGGGGAATCCCATCACACCAGCCTGACCACGGGCACCGGGGGGGCCTGGGGGTCCGGGGCGACCATCTTGACCAGCGGGACCCTACGGACGGACGGAAGGCACAGATGGGAGGCGAGGACAGAAGGTGGGCGGTCGGGAGCGGGGGAGGGGCCCCGGGGAGCGGTACTTACAGGGGGACCAGTTTTGCCATCCGGACCAGGGCTGCCGGGGCTTCCAGTCAGACCCTAGTGGAGAGGGGACAGAGACATGTGAGTGAGGGTGACAGAAGAGGCAAGAGGCCCTTCAGAGGGCAGATGCGCGGTCCCGCTCCGGGTGCCTCATTCCAGCCCCCACACAGGGCAAGGGTCTCGGGGCAAGCGGGGCAGAGGGGCGGGAGGCTCACCTTGGCACCAGGCAGACCAGCTTCACCGGGGCGACCAGCTTCACCAGGAGAACCTTTGGGGCCAGCAGGGCCAGGAGAACCACGTTCACCGGCGGGACCCTGGTCGGGGGGAGTCACAGGGACAATTAGGGGCTCGAGTCTCGGCTTCTTTTTTACCACGGGCCGGCCTCTTATTCCTCTGGTGGGGCAGGGTCAGGTGGCTAAGACGGTGGCAGGGGGAAGGTCAAGACGAAGCCGAGTGTGAAGAGAGAGTGCGCGGCCACGGCGCGGAGCACTGATGGGGGCAGGAGTGGGGTGGGGGTGACTACATGGGGAGGGGCAGGTGATGTCCACGGAGCAGGGCCAGCACCCCAGCCATGAAGAGAAGTTACCTTGGGACCAGCCACACCATCTGCGCCAGGGAAGCCACGGCTACCGGGTCCGCCCTGCAGGAGGAGAAGAGGCCAGTGAGCTCTGACACGGGGGGCACCGGGCTGGCCTTGGGGGCGAAGAAGGGGACACTCACGCGCTCGCCAGGGGGTCCGGGCAGGCCAGTGGGGCCGGGTTCGCCTCGGGCTCCTCGCTTTCCTTCTTCCCCAGCGGGGCCAGGGGGGCCTTGGATACCAGTGGGGCCCTGGAGAGGGGCAGAGACGAGGGGAGGGCCCGCGGTGAGGGGCTGACCCGGGGGCCCCCTCCCGTCCTCCCGGGGTTCCCCGGGGGCAGATGGGCTGAGCTGTGGGGGGCGGGCGAGGGGACTTACGGGCTCTCCCTTGGCGCCAGTGTCTCCTTTGTTGCCGGGGGCACCAGGTTCGCCCTGTGGGAGGGAAAAAGAGATGGGGGGGGGAGGGGGGCTGATTCGCATCCTCACGCTTCTCAGGCGGGGCCACGCCGGACGGAGCCGGCGCGCGGGTGGACACAAGTGAGAGAGTGATACTTACACTGTTACCCTTGGGACCGGGAGGGCCGCTGGGGCCCTGGGGTCCAGAGGGGCCTCGGGCACCAGGGAAGCCAGGAGCGCCAGCAATCCCAGGAGCGCCCTGTGGGAGGCAGAACAGGTTGAGCCCCGGAGCGGAGTGCGTGGGGCAGGGGGGAGGGGGGTGCCGGGGGCGGCTCTGAAAGCTGCAGGATACTCACGTTGGCACCTTTGGCACCAGGCTGTCCGTCAGCACCGGGGTTTCCCTGTGGCCCGGAGAGAGGAGGGTGAGTGACAGGAGAGGACTCTGAATTGGGGGGTGGCACAGGGGCACTGAGGAGCACTTACAGCAGGGCCAGCAGCACCAGCAGGGCCGGGGGGGCCGGGCTCGCCACGCACACCCTGGGGACCTTCAGAGCCACGGGCTCCTTGGGGACCGGCTTCACCCTGGGTAGGAGACAAGGACAGGTCAGGAGCCCAAGCGTGTCTTTGGACGCCGGGAGGTGAGGGTGGAGGGCAGGGACAGGAGAGCAGGAATTAGGACTCCAAGATCACAGAAGAGGACCTGAGGACAAAGGTGCTGGGGCATGGGCTTCTCCGGGTTTGGAGAGCAGGGAGGCGCCCATCCCTTGGCCTGTGGGTGCTGGGCTCAGAGCGGGGGCAGGGATCTCACCTTAGCACCAACAGCACCAGGGAAGCCGGGAGGACCAGCGGGGCCAGTGGGACCCTGTGAATGAAATGGAGCCGTTAGTGAGAAGGAAAATGGCCACTGTGAGTCACACCAGGCGGCAGAAGAGGTCCTGGGATTCGTGGCCATGGGGCCCGCCCCCGGTGGGAGCCCCAGGAGCCCTCGGGGTTCCCAGGCACAGAGACCCGGGGGCTGTACTCACAGGGGGGCCGGCGGCACCGGTAGCACCGTCATTTCCACGAGCACCCTGCGGGAGAGAGAGGGGTGGCCCCAGTCACGTGCACCGAGTGCTGGCGGGTCCCCGCAACCCCTCAGGAACCCCTTCCAGTGCCCCGGGATCCCCCCAAGGGGCCAAGAGGACTTACAGCAGGGCCAGGGGCTCCGGGGCGTCCTCTCTCACCAGGCAGACCACGGGGACCCTGACGACAAAAGCCAGGAAAGCCGAGTGAGATCAGAGACACACTCTTCCCCCCAAATCCCATCTCGCCCCTCTACCCTGTTCCATCTCTTCCTTCTAGAACTGGACACACTCACCATCTGGCCAGGAGCTCCATTTTCACCGGGGCTACCAGGCTCACCCTAGAGAACAGAGAATGAAGTTAGGAATTTGTTCGTGGTGGGACTGGGTGGTGGGGGCCCTGGATACTCAGGCATCCTCTTACCTTGGGACCAGCAGGACCAGCATCTCCCTTGGCACCATCCAAACCACTGAAACCCTAAGATAGGGAAGAAGGGCCAAGGTGAGTGCTGCTGGAAGAGGTGGACCACCTTGGCCCTCATGTTGACCTGGCAAGGTGCCTCAGGGGGTCACCACAGCCATCCCCCTGTCTCTGCACTAGACTAGACCCCAACTGGCCCAAGATCTCACCCAATCCTATGGAGATTTCTTTCCCAATGGAGGGAAGTTCTTTTGGATGTCTACTCTCTATCCCTTGGGACTTCTGTAGCTGCCACCCCACCTCGACACCCACAGGAGGATCCTTTGGGGGAAGGGGTAGGATGGTGGGGTGCTACAAAGGGGACTTACTCTGTGTCCCTTCATTCCAGGAAGGCCAGCAGTTCCAGGCAATCCCCGGGCACCCTGGAGAGAAAAGAAAAGGAGGAGAAAGGCAGGGCCATTAGAAGACGCCACTGTGGACCCAGTGCCCAAGTGGAGCCCCCCTGTGGCGACGTCCAGGGCCGGCCACGCATTCCTGCTCACCTGAGGTCCAGGAGGCCCACGCTCACCAGGACGACCAGGCTTTCCAGCTTCACCCTGAGAGGGAGAGAAAAGGCCATGATGCCCATGCCTTGGAAACGTGTGGAAGGTCTGAATTTTCTTGGCATTGTTGAAGGTCAGGTTTAGGAGCCCAGAATCTTGTCTTTGGATTTAGAGCGCAGCTTAAATCTACAGTGAAATCCTTGCTTGGTGAATTTTGAGTCCCTCCGAGGGAATTTCTGTTTATTTTTGTATAGGGAGAGCAAATCTGAGGTGCCCAGGGCAGTCAAGCCTAAGGAAGTCATTCACCCCGAGGGACAGTGTTGGGGATTGCTTTGAAGTGGCTGGGATGAGAGGAGGGTCAGTCACCTCCACTGGGGAAAGGGGGAACATCCCATAAAGGGTGAAGATCATTGTTCAAGGGCAGTCCCATGCATCAGGGAGAACTTGGCCTCCTTTCTCTGGGTATCACCTTCAAAGGTGGTGGGGCACTGGAGTGGAGATTACAGGAACCTAGCCCATGGAGGCATTGGGGGCTAGATGGGATCATCTTGCCTGGGTTACTTACGTCATCTCCGTTCTTGCCAGGGGGACCAGGGGGACCACGGGGACCCATGGGACCCTAGAGGAAACAGGAAGAAAGGAGATTAGAATGACCAGGATAAGGGGAAAAAAAGAAGGGGGAGGCTGGGATTGGAAGGAGGAGTCAAGGAAGACTTCAGATGGCAGGGGTGGAGGAGTCCTTCAATAGGACAATCCACATGTTTGTAGAGGGAGTATTTGGATAGAGTACAACTTGGGGGGGGTGGCACTTACTGAAGCTCCAGGCTCGCCGGGCTCACCAGGGGGGCCTTGGAAACCTTGGGGACCCTGGAGGACAAGGAAAGAGGGATTCAGTTAGGACAGGTCCCTGTCAGTCTTTCCCCATCTCACCAAGAGATCTCTCAGAGCACCTGACCTGCCCTCATCCCCATCCTCCCTTCGAAAGACCAAAGCCCAGGGTGGTGTGTGATGATATCCTGGATACTTACAGGTGCACCAGGGGGACCAGGGAGACCACGAGGACCAGAAGGACCCTACAGAAGGGGGAAAAAAAAAGAGCGGCCATGTTGATACCTCTGTAGGAAGGTGCAACATGGGTGTGATCTTGCTGTCTTCCAGGGGTTCCTCCTGTTGGAGTGTTCCCACTCGTCTGGCATCCTCTCTGAATTTCCACTATAAACCACCTCTGAAACCACCTCTGAAATTCCCCCATAAACCACCACTGGCCCATCCTGTCTAGATTCCCACGGGCTCCTCTTCTGTCATCTCTGCACCCCAGTGGCTCACCATGGGGCCAGGCACAGAGATTCCTCCAGCTGACTTCTCATCGTAGCCGTAAGACATTTGGGGAGCAAAGTTCTAGAAGAAACAAGAGAGAGGAGAGGGCATGAGAAATCAGTGAGTTGAGAGGCAAAAACATCACTGACAATGGGATATTGACATATGCCTCCTGGCTTGATGCACTAAGAGGGTCAACAACATCACTTGTGAGATATTCCTGCCCAGAAGGCATGGCCCAACTCCAATTATGGGGACACATTCGGCCAACCTGAGCTGAGGGCCACTAAAATAATTGGCCTTTACGAAGCAACTGGCTTCTTCAAAAAACTCCAGGGTCATGAAAGGCAAAGGAAGTCTGAGGAATGTTCCAGAGTAAAGGAAACCGAAGAGCTATGACAATTAAATGCAATTTATAATCCCAGATCCAGAAAAAAGATGCCACAGAGGGTATTATTGGGATATTGGTGAAATTTGGATAGGGACTGTATATTCAGATCATAGTTATGTATCAGTGTTAACGTTCTGAAATGTAATCACTCTACAACGGTCACGTAAGAGAAAGTTCTTGTTCTCGGGAAATACAACCAAAGCTAAAGTAGTTTGGAGCAAAAGGACACAACATCAACAACTGATTCTGGAACAAATGGTTCAGAAAGAAAAATAACGACGATTATATGTATACATAGAGACTGACAAAGCAAATGTGACAAACTGCGAAGGGTATGTGAGAGTTCTTGGCACTATTCTTGAAGCTCTTCTGTAAGTTTGGAACCATTTCAAAATACAAAGTATGCCATCTGCCAAAAACACACAAAAAACCAAAGAACAGGAGGTGAGGGGAGCACTCAGGGCCGGCCTGCCAGGAGTGTGTTGAATCTTCACTTACTCCTCCGAGGCCAGGGGGTCCGGGGGGTCCGGGAGGGCCGGGGGGTCCAGGAAGTCCAGGCTGTCCAGGGATGCCGTCGCGGCCAGGGGGGCCGGCAGGTCCCTGCAGCGGGAGAGGGCGGGCGGCGGTGAGCGCAGGCCTGGAGCCACGCCCACCTCCAGCCCCGACAGCAGAGAGCGCAATGCTTACCCTTGGGCCTCGGGGGCCAGTGTCTCCTTTGGGTCCCTATGGGGTAAGGGGGGAGAAGAAGCAAAAGAAGTCGAGTTAGAGAAGGGAGGCGCTTGAGGACTCTGGGGCGGGGGGCGAGGGGGG